GCTATTTAGGAATATCTATGAAATTACCTTAGAATGTTAGCAAAGCTCTATCCGAGAAACTGATCATTCCCTCTGACTAGAAGGAACGGCAAATTTTCTGTTGACTTGGAATCAGCCTGAATCTATTCTGGCAGAACGGTTTCCTTGTTCTCCTAACCTATGTGTTGACATCCACGATTTTCCATGGGAGATGGCCCTGTATGTGTTGATTTCCTCCTAAGTTAGCTTATCATTAGCGCAGCGAATTCGAACAGTGAATTTAGACTGCACTGTTATCAAAGTTATTGCCCGCAGAAACTGTAGTAGTGCTTGTTTCAGACTTGCTATTTATCATCAAAGCTTTGACGTTAACCTGCGTAGATTTGCTACTCGGGTATAACGGACACATTCGCATCGCTCCTAGTTGTAATGCGAAGCTTCGTTGAGATTAGAACGAGATTGGCTATCCGACAGCGCAAAGGCTGTCTCGAAGATCGTTTGGATCGACAGCAAATTTTAATTTTAACATCTGTGTGCTGTTTGATCCTGTTGGCTGTTCCCGCTGTCGTGATCTGTTCAGTCTTTTTTTCCCTTAGGCTATTGCGCCTTGTTTGTTACAGCCGGTGACCCTGAGGCCAGTGTACCGCCCATTCAAATGATTTGGGTCAGTTGGAGGATTTAAGGTAAAGCAACTTTGGTTACATAAACTAACAGGCTTTTCAGATTTAATACAGTGCTCAGAGCGTTGCTGAAAGTCATCGCTAACAGGTTTTTGTTGAATGGGAGTAGGTGAAAAATTTCCACAGAGTCGTGTAAAGCATTTTAATAAAGCAACGCCTTCGGAAATCCTTCCGCCGGTCACTACGATCACAAGGTTATATAAACACAAAATTCAAATTTAAATCGGAATGGGATATCAGTCTCTACATAAAGATCAGTCTAAGAAATCAATGACAATATTACGTATAGTCTTGAGCGTTATGCAGAAGTTGGTAGCTCATCCCACTTTGAATTTAAATTTTGTATTTATGACTTTGTAATCGTATTGATCGGAGGAAGAATGGCCAAAACTTTTCTTTCCTTAACATGCCTTATATTAATGGGAGTAGTTGATCCACTGAACTGGATAGATACCAACTTGTAACGGTATTATCTGACGTTGGAATTCACTGGAACGTCATTTATCAGCTTCAGCTTGATACACGCTTCCCTTGTCTCCAATAGTGGTCATATTCTTGCAGGGCAGACATTATTGCCTTTCTTAACAAAGTGATTTTGATGGCAGTGAAATGGATGTACCTGTTTTTATCTATCTATGGGTATTTGTGTTCTATCGGCAAACACGGTTGTATTTTTTCGCAGCTCACCACGTGCGCCTTGCGGTTGTATAACACATTTTCCTATGTGTAACCTGATTGATAGGATCTTGTTACTCTTGGTCTCATTTGAGTCTCCGCTTGGCTATTGTCGCTGAGCTTTGACGGCCTTCAGTCACACCGCTTTGACGGATGGGCTGAACAAAAGGAAGGTCACTTGAAGAATTAGCTCTCAGTGATACCTAGTGAAACATTCATAGGGACAAAATTAGTGGAGTCACGTGAGTAAGTCAGCTGGTCAGTCTAACAGTCATGATTTTTTCTGTTCAGTATTTCTGTATTTCTGTATTTCAGTATTTCTGTTCAGTATTTCAAATTGTGCGAGATTTCTATCGAATGAGGCATCTGATCTGTTTTGGTGCTCCATTCACCGCTCCTGACATCTGTTTTGTCGTTACCTCACGGGATTGCTGCAGTCTCGCGTTGCTCGAACTTGGTGGTTGGTGAAGTATCCCTTTGACAGCCGCTAGAATAGTTGCGTTGCCACAGCCTATCACGATGATGGCATTTTCGGTTGATAACCCGATCAGTTTGCAGGTAACCCACGCAGTAATTGGAGTCAGGCGCAGCGATACTGAGCCCACGCTTGTCTCATCAGTCTGATGAATTCAGGGCTGTGAAGATGTATCATATCAAGAAAAGTGTCGGTTTCTGCGACTGCTAATTGGTTGTGTGTGTGTGTGTGCACACCCACGTATCCATGTTTCAGCCACACCCACTCGCACACTCAACCTAGTCCGTACCATGGATTATTGCAGGTTTGTTTCTTGCCAAGTGATCGCCTTCAGTCGATTTCAAAGTATATTTCTGTGGAGAAGTTACACTGAATGGGAGTATTTTCTACCGATTTCGGTGTTGTTCCATCAGCTAGCCGATTGAATGGTTGCCAGTTGATCTCATTTTCCGTACCATTCAAACGCCATGCTCAGTCCGAATGTGACGACCAGAAAACGAAGGGAAACCCAACGATGATCAGGTAGCCATCTTGCTGACATTTTTAAAAAGAAGCGTATCATGCAGGTGTGGGAAGGCAACCAGTGGGCTATTTATCACACCAAGTAAACCGACAATAGGCACTCCAAAACCAACGCCATCTGGCTTAATGAGCTTCTTGGATTGTGCCCGGTCTGCTCACACCTAGCAGAAATTCTGCTTACGATAGCCTCTAGCTGTTTCTTCCTTTGACTTATTGATGCTGTCCAGGTAACGACGACTCCCAAGGCAGGGTTGGAGAATGCAATACTATCCGTAAGCCGTGCGTCACAAGGCCCGCGAACGTGTGACACAGCTGAAAGACACTGGTACATTCCATATCTGGTCAAATTCCAGTCTGGACTAGGTGCAGCTAAACTTCTTGAATGTAATACTCTATTGCATGAATTGGTTCTTCTTCTAGATTGGATTGGGTAATGTTAGCTGGTTTTGGGTAACTGCATTTACACAAGTACATGACTGTTGTTTGTCTTCAAGTGATCGAATGACATTCGGCAGCCTCTAGGCATGATTTCGTCCTTTTTTTGCACAGGAGCTCGGTATGTACCTTTTGTTTCGAGGGGAAATTTGTTATCAGGAGGTTTCAACAGAAAACAAAAAGGTGCCTGCTATCTTCTAATGAAGTGCTCCGCTGGTAGTCGTATCTATCTGTTGGGGGGTCCTGTCACTAATACTGGAACCTTAAAACCTAGCTCATAGTTAATCAACGATAATAAGTGTTCTTCTCCTTAATTGCTGTCAATGTTGATGACGATGCATATCTACCACGCCTAAATTTTGAAGTTTGATCCGAGAGCAGCTTTGAAAATCATGTGTTCTTTCCATCTGTAATACGTGTAACCGTGAACGTCACACGTACCTGACCGTTGGCCTATGTATGAGTAGGCAGGGTGACCAAACCATCTACGCTTCCGTGGTTACGAGCTCGTGTAAAAATGTGGACCCATTTTCTCTGTGTGGCTTTTTTTCTCCGTGCTCTTAACTTTCTCCATTGAAAAGTTGTTCTTACCGTTTAGATGTGCTGTTAATTTGAGCGCTGTACAACCCACGTCACAAGATGTCCGGGTGTTGTTCTCCACCAACAATTTTCTAAAGGTGTTATGTCCGCGTAGCTGAAGTGTCGTGCGTATAAGTACATAAAATGACTACTTTATCGATGCTTACGTTACGTGGCTTGCCCAGAGCGGGGATCCAAGACGATCCGAGGATATCTTCATCACCGTCATCATTAACATCATCGTCGTCATCATCATCACCATCGGCATCAGTGTTCAACACTCATTCTTCGCTGCCGTAGTAAGTTAGGTACAGACAGCTTGTCAGTGAATTATGTTGCATGCCAGGCTGGTGTTGTAGAATTCGCAACAAAGTGATTTTGATGATTCAGTAGATAATATACGGGTGGAGTATGTTCGCATGTGTAATGTATAAATGCACGGCGTTCGTTCGCTGTCTCAAGCCAGAATGTTTTCGGTTTCATCATATGGTAATACGATAAGTAAGGGTCTCGTTGCCCTTGTTGTGATGACATATGAAAGCGTCAGTGTTCGACCATTGGTGTCTGGTGGGATTCTGAAGTACACTATATAGCGTTAGGAAGAAGGTTGGTTAGTCCCAAAAGTTTGCGAACTTAATCCGGTTCCCACATTCGCATACTCTTGAGCGCGTTTGTGTGTGGTGATCTTTTCAGAAGTTCCCTAAAAAAGTGATGTCCAACATAGACGTTCCTTCTCTCCGTTTCGTCGCTGGTGAATTATTAGGGCAAACGCCGAAAGGTCTTCAAAATCCAGGTATTCAAATCGTTGCTGGTGAAAACCCTAAGATACTGCTAGGTTGCCCGAATCTAGACGGGAGCGGTCGGGATGCTGAGATTGGGTTTGAACCACAGACCTTCCGGTCACTGAGCTCGCGCTTTGACCGCTGAGGTATCTCCAACTGAATGTTAACTCTACATAACATTTTCTGGGCACGTGAACAAAGAAATAGCTTACTATCAGCCGCGGATAGTAGGTGACTTATGTGGGTGTGCAATAAAGCCGGTGCATCATCGTCAAAATCCCCGTCTTATTTGCTGTTCAACTTTTCCATTCACTTTTGGATTTGAACGGAATGCTTGTGTGGGCTCAGCCTGATTTTTATTAAGGATGGTTTGTGTTCGAATGTCCGTTAAGGCGAGCCTACTGTTCTCGGCTGACACAAACATGTTTGATGCATCTTTTGTAAACGAACTAACTGAACGAGAGAGGCGATATACTCGTAATGCGTAGAAAATGGCTCGTAAAACTTGTTTGCCTGCTACCGTATTATTCTTCCACGGTTGCCGTGGGACACGTTTTGGTTTCCACTGCAAACAATAGGAAATTGGATCATTAATCATTGTTACAAGCAACAGAAAACGAAAATCATATCACATCACATATCTTTTCCCATTTACGCACTCGAACAGGCCGAGGAAATCCGATTATACTAGAGAAATGGCTGTGTTTTGAACAGGAGTTCCGTGCACACCCACACATATCCACATATTAAAGGTGGAGTCGTTCCACCGTGGTCATTCGATAGAGGAACTACTGCACGATGTCATTTTCTTACTTCTCGACCACACGAACCTATTTGCTCCGCTTATATCGATTTGCTTTCTCTTTACTACAGAACAACCATTTTGCAAGCGTTCAAAGGTATTGAAAGCCGGGATCATCATGGAGCCGGGAGTGAGTTAATCTTTTTCCTGAAGGTTGTTTTTGGTGCGAAAATACCGGTCACATCAATCGAGCATTCTTTGACTCTGTGAATATTACAACACCTTCAAAGAAGCGACTTCGAGAGACTCCCAAATGTCTCTTCGATAAAATTTTCCCTCGTGGGAGGATTCTCTTAAAGAACCACACTCCAGCGTTGGGAACTCCCCTTATTCGGATATTCCTTGGGACTCCTATGTGAACAGGATAAAATTTTCCAATCGACTGAAGTGATTGTTTCAGCTATTCCCTTGTATCCGTGGCTCACTTATACTAATCCCTGTAGTGTGGAACTGGTAGTTTTCCAACTAACTTGACCTATAAAAGAACTACTGAACACGATAATAACTCATCCCGAAAGTGTATCCCGAAAGAAGGAAAACAGTGATGGAAAATGAAGGCTCGAGTTACCTCCGTTGCTTCGTTCTCTCTGTGTTGGCTTCATTATCCTCAGTTGGTACTTCAACGATGACCTCTTTCACCGAACAGTGCCGTGTTCATATCCAGCGTCAAGTTTCCAGAACGCCAAGACTATCTAAGTCAAATTTCGTCAGTATGACGTATAAGTGTGTCTGTTGTGCTGCTGTTATATGCTTTTGAAGAGAGATGTTCAGCAATGAACTGGGTCAATGATGTATGGGATTTCTTCTGTGGTGCCTCGTTAGCCGTTTCGGGAAATTGGTGGCTGTTAACTTGACTGCGAATCGCAGTTGAAAAAACTTTGTGCCATAGGAATTGTCTCCTCGATGGTGATCTTCCTCAGAGGGTACTGTATTGATCCTAGCACTGAGCATCACGTTCTGTTGTGACGGAACGGATTGTAGTACTTTCTCACCATAAGATGAGCTTGTTCCGATCGACAGAGATTTCTTTGAAAGCAGTAGAATATTTTTGAATCTAATCTACGGTTACGAAACTGGTGTTCCGAAACCTCTGCTTTCAAGTTTCATTGCAGGCACCAGTTGACATGTCAGAACAAATGTCGATGGAATTCATGCTGCCAATTGATATGTACACAGATTGCCCGACTGGGTGCTGTGGATCCGGACTAGGATGTTTGGGTTTTTCAGGTTGATTTGGACTAATAAATAATAGTAATAATAATAAACAGTCGTTTTATGCCGTAACAACCTTCGATGCCTAGCTACCGGACAAGGCTGGACGGATGAGATACTGCCGGAGCTGGGCTCGAACCCTCCGATCAGTAAGCTCGCACCATCTGGAGAAGATTAAATTAATTGCAGCAGTGTGAAAACACCTATGGTGGACAACAGGGTTGCCGTCAACAGTTATGGTTCTTGGGTTGTTCACTGCGATGGGCAATTTGATTGCAAATGTTTCATCACCAATGGAGACGACATCATCAGTGTATTGTTAGAGAGTGCAGTGGAGCGTACCGATGGGTCGGTGGTCGTACCTTGAGGGGTGTTGTGTGTGTGTTAGTATGTTGCCAGCCGGGGCTTACCTTCGATCAAGATTAGTTGTTCGGTCGGTTGGTTCCATTGGTTGCTCTGCCATCCTGTGTCCTGATTGATCAATGACCACGTGACCTTTGAGCCTGGCCTCCTTTGTCCTCGGGTTCTGACCAATGCTGGAGCGACTTCTGTCGTTGACCCCTCTGGGTTCCGGTGCGTGACCTTTGTTGATCCTACTCCGAAGAGTTTCTTGCTTCTTGGTTTGTGAATCCGGTATTTGGCTCTCCTTGAGCATTCCGGTGGAGGACTTGGTCCTTTGCACGTAGTGGTGACCTTCTTAGTCTTCGTGTATGGATATGAAGGATAGGGGGTCACGTCTCCTGACGGTCGCCCAGTGTTCCTTTATTCGTGTGCATTCCTCCTAGTTTGTCCAACGTAGAATTTTTTGCAATTGATTTGGTATACACACATCGTTCCTCTTGATTTTGTCAGATTGGTTGAAAATTCATTCAAATAATTCACCACTCTGACCAACCTTGTTACCGACTTCAGGTCATTGTGAGCCGTCAAATGATTTTCTGTGGATCGGATTTTAAACGGTCTGCTGTGGTCGCATATTCATGGTTCGCTTCCTCTCTTGTTTGCTGTATAACCTGTCCGGTATAACGTTTGGAGAATTGTCACGAATTCTGACTGTGGTGTTTACTTGTCCGACGGTGGATGAGCACATCATTGGCACTGCATACTTTTCCCGAAAGTCTGTTGATAGTGGAGCAAGGTGCTTGAGAAAAATCTCTCTGGGAACCTTTAGACTGAATGACAGGCAATGCCAACGAAACTGATCGCACAGTGTACCAGACTACTTTTCACGTTCAAACTAAGTTGTCAAAGTGTCGTAGACAAACTAACCTAGGTGAAGAACCTGGCCCTTTTGGGTTCCACCAGCTCATCATCTGGCGTAGAAATGTGGTAATGTTCTCTTCATTACGCCTAATCCAAAGTCTCAGGGTCAGCTACATACACGTGTTCAACCCCCACATACTCAAGAAGGCATTGCTTTGTTTCCCAGACGTTGTCGCTGTAGCGTTTGCCGGGTGGGTGGACCATGATATGAGCACGTGATCTTCGTGTGTTCCCTCCTGCAAATCACCGTAGCATTTGGCCGAGGCTACGTAGTAACAGATCCATCGGAAACACTTCACTGATTTTTCTTAGTTTCTCAAGGGAACAACACTGGACCAGATTGGGGCTTTTGTGGGCAGTTGGAACATCAGTTCGTCATTGCTTTTGCTGTTGGGAAGCGGTGTTACTCAAAACCAGTCAACGACAGCCCTGTTGATAACGCTACGCAGCGGACTATGTGGCTTGAGGTTATTTCTGTTATACTAATCATGGTTGTGCATGGTCTGGGATACTGCCAGGACGTCCAAACCTCCGTGGACGAGGACGACTAGTGCCCTCAACCAAAGCCCTCGGTTTAAGGGCTTGACCAAAAGGCATCGGTATTTGACGAACAATACCAATGCCTCATATTTCTCAGAGAACAAGTCGTCGTACAACTCAACTCGCAATTCAGAGGAGCAGGAGACTGTCAGCCAGAACTCCAACCATTGACCAAATCAGCGTGAGGAACTCTGCGACTGTTGCATGCACGTCCTCACAGTACAGCTCAGTGGGGTGTGGAGGCATACAGCTAGTCATACCACAGTAAATTTTATTTACTTCTTGAGGTAAATGGTATACATGGTGCTCACTAGGTACCGACCCAGTGCAACGGCCGCCATAGTGTTGCGCACCCATTTAGCACGCATCATGATGTTCTAAGGTTCTGTGCATAACACCTAACGCTGTCCATGCATCCATGCATTTTGAAGATTTGAGTGTCCCACGTTGAATCGGAGCAGAGAACAGCAAGCCTCCCGAGAGACTTTAATGACGATTTCGAATAATATATCACCATCTCTTTGATTTTCCTCCTCAGATGTCAGCAGCATGCGGTTTAGAGGTTCGCTACCCTCGTTCAAACCATGTGCGAGCGGAAGAGATGTCTACTGGAGAAACCATGGTCGTTTCGGTCGATTAACTTTGATTGGTTGATTGATTTCGATTCTGCCATTGATTTTGACTGGCGTCAGCGTTTTCTAATCAGTTTTTCACCACATGACCATTGTTATCCTGCCGTCTGACTCCGTCGGGTTCACAACAAGATGACTTCGCAGAGTAGAAGCTTACAGGGGACGTGACATGCCTATACCCAGGTCCAGACAAAATAAAGTGAGACGCAGCCAGGAATTTCGGTCGACTCCTACGCTTAGATTATCGGAATGATTACCTGAAGTATCTCTCTTCCATTCCAGACTCGCAACAACATAGTATCACCCATTTTACTCCGTGCTACCTTCCTCACCGTTTTTTTTTTTGCGTATATTTTTTTTTTGCGATAATATATTTTTCTGTATGCAACAGGCCACCGTGCGCTGTCTGGGACCAAAATGATAACTCACTGGTTCCGTATTCAATTGTCTTGTACGAATTCAACCATTTTACATTCCCACGTCCTGGTCGAACCTTTTCAGCGAGCGAATGGACTTTCGTTTCTGATGCGAATTTATTTCAGGTCGGTGTAGGTGCGTTTCAGGAGATTCGGACCAACTGCTTACACACATCGACCAGCTTCAAGATTAGGTCTAATGTATTTTGATATGTCAATCATCTGTCCTCTAACATTCCTCTTATGGTTCTCATTGGCGTCTTTTATCCGCTCAACAACACTAGTGTTCAGGAAAGAAAGGTTTTGTTGGGAACAAGCTTTACTGACTTGTCTGGTGACCGCGGTTGAGTTATTCAGAGTCATTTGGAATGCAGACTCCTGATTGGGTTGTTGGTGAAGACAGCAGTCGTTGAGTTAGATGAATATGGTGCAAAAATGAGAGAATGATTTGAGTGAAACAAGTCGTCGTTGCAAGCTTAACACTTTCGCTGCTCAACCACCTTGTTGCCTGAAGGAAGCACGAGAGCCAAAATGCAGTCAGACTGCCTGAGCCTAGATAGGAGTAGTTGAGATGCAGAACTCGGATTCGACCGCGGACCTCCTCTAACATTCCTCTTATGGTTCTCATTGGCGTCTTTTATCCGCTCAACAACTCTAGTGTTCAGGAAAGAAAGGTTTTGTTGGGAACAAGCTTTACTGACTTGTCTGGTGACCGCGGTTGAGTTATTCAGAGTCATTTGGAATGCAGACTCCTGATTGGGTTGTTGGTGAAGACAGCAGTCGTTGAGTTAGATGAATATGGTGCAAAAATGAGAGAATGATTTGAGTGAAACAAGTCGTCGTTGCAAGCTTAACACTTTCGCTGCTCAACCACCTTGTTGCCTGAAGGAAGCACGAGAGCCAAAATGCAGTCAGACTGCCTGAGCCTAGATAGGAGTAGTTGAGATGCAGAACTCGGATTCGAACCGCGGACCTTCCAGTCAGTGATTTCGCGACTTAACCAGTGAGTCATTCAGAGCTCAAGCGATGGTGTTCAACTTGATAACACACAGTTGTCTGTGTACGAAAGTCAGTTTCGGAATGAGCGGGAGGCTCGGTTAGCATGAGCTTCGATTCCTTCCCATGCATAAATACACACTTGGCACTGGCATCGTGTTACAGTGGTTGATGATGTTGTTGAGTTACACTGGTTTGGGATGGCGTCCCCCGACCGGTAGCATCATTTTGATTGGTGTTAATGCTTTTGCAACCAGATAGCCATGCTCCACAATATCCCGCCTGTGGAACCGGTAGCAAGAGTTGTCCAAGAGGGGACAGTGTAGATAACGTTGCAGCTCATGCTTTTCTGTGAATGATACATGAATGTCAACCTTTCGTTTTCGAAGTTGGATGCACACCATTCAACTTCCACTGCGACTGCCTTAGAAAACCGGGAATTCATTCCTCGAGAATGAGAAATCGCATTACTGATTAAGTTCGCTAGAGAAGACGAACTTTAGAACCCGAGAGGATCCATCCGCTCCGTCAAAATAATTATCATTACGTGCCCTGCATACCTAGCTAACGCACTGTGGTCCCTGGTTCACTCCTTGTTTTCATTCTGTGTGTTGCCTCATTTTCAGTGGTTGCAAAATGCGCTTTAAAGCTTCGCTTGGACATAATGCAAGTTTTTTAAGGCATATTAAGCAGCAATCCGATCGTTTTTTGACACGAACAATGGATTTTTAGCATCTGCTTGTAGTTTTCAGATTGCTTACCTTATACCATATTGTAAAGGACAAGTGACTGAGTTCACCTTGTTTACCCCGGTAGATGTCGGCTGAGACGCGTCCTAGGAACAAACACCCTTGCAAGAATCCGGTCAGTACTTGGAAGTATTGATCATGAAGGAATTCTGAATCATCTTGGTGATGGTGATTAGGAAGACGTACTTCTCAGTGCAGTGACTTACTGGGATCGAATCTCTTATTCCCGTCCATGTGAACTATGTTCACTTGTACTCCCTCGCCCACGTCTTATGCCAGTGTCACGGCTCACCGGATGCCAGCTAGTTCTAGCATGCTTCCGCCCACCTCACAACGACTTGTTTTTGCTCCAAGAGTGCCATTGTCCATCGACTGGGTGTAGGTAGTTGAAAGGGCTGAATGCGATTGAGTCTTTGTACCTACCCCCGTGTGCTTGCCTCTGAGATCATTTTCAACCCGTGCTTGATCAGTCGACAATTTTATCACTCACTTGTCGAATCGCATACTACCGACGCTGATAACCGATAGTTTGAGATCTGTCCCGCTTACAGTAGTCAAGTTCGCTGTTTACTGTCGCGACAGAAACCTTGGTAACCTCAGTTTTTGGTGAAACATTTCAACAACTGCTTGTGTATGTACTGCTTCTGATGTTTATTGTAAATGAATGTTGCTTTGTTGCATCCTTCTGCTTATGATCCCGGAGCCGCCGTCATAATTTTTCCCCATACGCCGTTCAAGGCATCGTATGTGTAGAAGAGCGAGACTGCATCGCTTTGTTCATTTCTTCCTGGTTTCAAGTCCACGAACGTTCCGTTGGTTGCTGGAGGCAAATCGACACACCGGTTTTTTCAACCACAGGAATACTATAACCTCAGTTTTTTCGAAATGCATGGTTTTGAACACCAGCGATTGTTCGTTACCTATCAGTTAATAATTGATACTAGTAATTAATTGACAATATTCATACGCTTCCATGTTAATTCCGGAATGTAGTTGGTAGTCCTGTAAAGGGGTCTCCGTAAGTTTCATGAAGTAAACACTCATCACAGTGTGTCCTTGTGGTACTCTTGGGATTGGTTTCACCAATATTTCGTTGCTTTCATCCATTCGTTCGCTTGCGTCCACCATGGGCGAAATCTAACAGTGCACCGTCAGACTTGGCTCAAGGGATGACCTTCCTCGTAGAATATTCCACTTTTCAGGGGTTTGTTAATGATAGACGGGGTTTTAGCTTTGGTGATTAGGCCGAATGCAAAGGTGTTGCTTGATCTTGAAAAGCCCAACCACACAACGCCTTTCATCTTCAATAAGGTTACTCGAACAGATTGACACGATTAGTCACGTGGTCTTTTGGCTGGCAGCTTCCATTGTAAGTCACGTGATCGCCGACCATGCTTGTGCGCCTCGTGAATCTGGTTTTTGAGATCCAGTTGTACATGGGTCAATAGTTGACCAGCTAAACTAAGAATAGAACCTTTTCAACTAATCCTCTGATATATGGATAACCTTATATAGAATGAACTGCTGTTGACATCATCGTAACTTTTCGTTTTCACTACCTTTGGTTTACCGTTTCCATGTGTCATTTTTCGAGGTGTAACGCAAATCAGCTGAAACAAGGTTGTTTCTTTCTCGCAGATAGTGGCCAGTTTAATCTGATCCTCTTAACGAATACACACTTCTCTTGTTCTCTTCACTTGTCAGACATTTCCCACTCTCCTGGATCGATCGTCTGTTCTAGCGGCATTCGGCGTGACGGAACATACTATGCGTTTCACTTCTACCTACAATTTCAGTTCCTGTCGCACAGTCCCCTCTCTACTCGATGAATTTTTATCCGTCTGTTCTCGGTTAGTGATCGTATGTTCCATAAGTTTCCCTAATAGTTGTCAGTGGTCGATTTTCTATGTTTTTATATTGACCTTATTCGAAACCTACGGATCTCGGAAGTCATGGGCCAAACCATACTAGGAAGCAATTTCTGTACTCTTGTCTGTGCAGCAATCCCGGGAACCCACGGTCCTCCGTCTCAGGTTGTGTCAATACCATTCAGGTACATTCTGCCATCCGCTTTTAGACTAATGCGTTCAGTGTGAATAAATCATTCATCGGTTGGAGAACTCTTTCATCTAGACGTCTCCTTTTCCCGTTTGCTCTAAAAATGAATGTTGTTTAATAAAGCGGGGCAATTTCCCGTAAACTTTGCCTTGCGAACTGTATCTAGTTTCTGTGCTTAAATTTGAGCGGAAATATGACTTGACTGTCGCGTGCGTCTTCTTAAGGAGAATTCATCGAACCCGGCTGGTCCATTTCTAAATCATCGAAGAAAAGCGGGATAACACACTGCGGTATGCTCTCTTTGTAAGAAACGGCAACTCCGAAGCATGATCATCAGCTGTATAAACCGCGTACTTGCACAGAAGTTATAACTGACACAGTTTCGTTTGCCGATGATTTAAGGAGGTGGAGTAGATACCTACGTATTGGAGGTGATAGCTGATTTAGTCGACGCTTCATTACAGCGGGCGCAGCGAAGTTTTCTTTTGTCAGGTCCGGAGGGGAAGGCAACAGTTTGGATGCATATGCGATATTCAGTGGCTACTGGGCCATATTTGACGAGGTCTCCAACCACTGTTGTGTCCCGTTTCGGGTTCCCCATACAGGGAGAAGGCAATGACCAGCAAGCCGGGTTAACTGCTGGTGGTTTTCATACTTTGCTGCCGAGTCATTGTTTGACCTCCTCTGGCTCGTTTTACACCCCTCTCGTGGTTGTGCAAAAAGTGCCCTTCGGGGAAGTCGGTCGACTGGCGTACGGAGCACGTAACCAAGCGAGCGCAGCCTATGGAGTGCGATCACATGATCTATCGTAGGCGAGTGATTTCCTCCGCGAACCATTCGACGTACTCCAGCATTATTGATTCAGCATTCCCACCAGACTCAGTCAATGCTCCGAAGACATCTCCAATCATGTTCGTTCAAATTCGTGGTCTTGCGTGCATAGGATTAGTATGTCTCGCTTCCGCTTTCATGGAGCACAGGTGTTCTCTTTGAAGAGACTGCTTCTGTCGGATTATTGGACCCTAGGAGAACCCTCCTTAAACATGGAACGCCTATCCAGTTCTCAAGCCATTTTACCTCTCAGGGGAGACAAACGTTCACTTTGGACGTGCTATCAAGTGTCTGTTTGTTTATGTTGACTTGAATGTGTAACTCAAGCAATCTGTCCCTTAGAATCACAGACTGAACGATCATTGTGTGCACTTTTACGCCTCATTTCCTCTGAAATGCTGTTACATCTACGGTAGCAAGATTAATATTCCTGAAACCCGGTTGGTTGGTCGCACTTGCCGCACAATTGGTTTAATAAGCCGTTCGCGCATTTTATTTTCGACGACGGATTGGTGGAGAAGTACCGAAATATTCGGTTTGTGTTGGGTAACGGCGTAGCTCTATTACCACCGGACTTCAGTTCAGCGTTGACTAACTGATGACGAAATCGAGAAACGCCAACGTTCCTTTACGCGGATAACTCGTGCCCAGTAAACCAATAATTTGTATGATATTGCCAAGTGTTTTTATCTGACGAGGTGGTGCTGGGTCCAAGACAAAAAGCGTAGCGTAGATTTGACGATTGTATCACCGCAGTCATGAAGAATGTCTGGCTAAGCACTGAACCGTAGCCTTTGGCCGGTGATATCCGTTGCTAATGAAGACTATATATGTATATGTATA